GCTCGCTAGCCAGAAACAGAGTTTGTTTAATAAAGAGGTTTTGGCTGATAAAGTTAACACTTCTACACCTAAACATCTCAGAGTCATTCCATGAACAGAGTGCCAACATTTGTTACTATGAGGCAAAATCTGCTAAGAAAAGTTTTTTAAGCTTATTTCACCCAGAGGGAATGTTGTTCTTTGATTGCTCAGGAGACGTAATGGTGATTCTCCTAAAAAAGCTTAGAGTAAACAGCTTTAGACATAAAGGAGATAAAGAAGAGATGAGAGTTCAATTGCGGGTGAAGATGAGTGTTAGTAGTTTTAAATATGTGACTTTATTAAGATCTCTGCTAAAACTCAGAAGGGGACATCTGAGATTACGAGGCTCTTTTTCTCAGCAGAAACATCTGCGCTGCAAGAGACTTGATCTCATTGGGCCTCCTTTACCAGCCATTCTTAAGAAGAAATTTCTTCTTAAAACCCACAGTTTTCAATAAGATTCTGACATTCACCAGTGTTTTCTCATTCGGAATTTGTTCTTAGGTAAGAACAGAATCTACAAACACAAAGGTGTGAACAATTCTTTGGTTGAAGAACACATCATGCATCTGATGTAGACCTTTTGGTCAGTGTACCTTCCTTTCATTTGATTTTCATTTTAAAAACCAGTATTGGAAAACGGCAAATGGGTCGATTCTCGTTTCTGGTTCTGTCAGTGGAAAAATGAAGAAATAGCTTCGTTTTACAGTTTCACAAACTAATCATAAAATCAAAAAACAAACAACCAGCAATGGAATAAAGGGTCGTTTTCTAATGATCCAAATTTAGAATTCCCCATTATAAGCGGAAATAAAGTTGCAAAGCGCAGGTATGGAGGCTCAGAAATCGCAGAAATCAGGCCTGTGGATCTGGTGTATTGGTTTATAAGTGTTTGTGTATTTGACGTGTACGAACCATATGTGAAAGAAATTATATAGGGAAAAACGGAACTGCCACCATTTGACAGGGGCTTCATGATCCAGATCAGCTGCAGATGCGGTCAAGTTCAAGAAGTGTTCTGTCGGTGTTGTGCCGAAGTCCCCTATGCGTGCGCGCGCATCAAACAGGCATATGGACACTAGATTACATTCTGTCTTTCAGTCATAATGACCAGTACTGTAGCCTCTTGGTGAAGGAGACTCAGGAGAGACTGTCATTCTGCTAGAGAAGCGCTTTTTATTGACACCTGCAGAAAAGGCTCATACAGGGCAGCCCGTGAGCAATGAAGGTCATCTCCGCTCCCTCCGTTTTGCAGTAGACATTTAACCCAACTAACTAAACACACCCGGGCCAGGGGGGACAAGGGGGTGCTGAATGATTAGTTTGTGAAATTGTAAAATGAAGTCATTTCTTGTTTTTTGACTGACAAAAACAGAATCAAAAATGAGATTTGACCTATTTGCTGTTTTTAAATTCAAAAATTAAATGAACAGAAGGTACACGGACACTTTTTCTTAGGACCTTTCTCAAGAACAAATTTAAGGAAGAAGCTAAGAAGATATTGGTGAATGAGGCCCAGTGTTATCTAGAAGAAACTACAGATATCAACTGTTGAAACTGAGAAATTTTATTTCTTTATTTTTTTAAATATATGCCCATTTTGAATGGGCTCAGGAACACTTCCAAAAACCACTGTCTGTGAACACAGTTCATTTCCGCATTCACAAGTACAATGAAAAGAAGAAACTATATATAAACAGCAACCAGAAACACCGCCATCTTTTCTGGGCCTGAGCTCATTTAAGATGGACTGAGCGGCAGTGAAAAAGTGTCCTGTGGTCTGACAAATCAAAATTTGAAATGTTTTGGGGGAAATTATGGACACCGCGTCCATTCTCAGCACTGCAGTGACACTGATGGGGTGGTGGCGTGTTACATTTACATTTATAGCATTTAGCAGACGCTCTTATCCAGAGCGACTTACAAAAAGTGCTTTGTCGATCCAGAGAAAGTATCTTTGCTAGTTACCAATAGATTAGAGAGAAAGTCAGTCCTGAATCAGAAAGTCATTATTGACAACTAGAGAAAAAGGAACAGAGTTAAACAAAGAGCAGTGCAATACAATACAATACATAAATGCAGTACAATACTTTACAATCAAAGTGTGTGTTGCGCTGGTACAAGTGGCTCAGACTCAGAAGTGCTGTTGGAGTTTTTAAACACTGTGTCCACTCACTGTCCACTCTATCAGACACTACTATCATGTTGTTCCACCTTGTAGATGTAAAGTCAGAGATGATAGCTCATCTGTTGCTGCACAGTTTATGTTAGTGATCCTCTTGATCTTCATCAGTGGTCACAGGACGCTGCCCACTGGATGGTGTTGGCTAGACATTTTTGGTTGGTGGACGATTCTCAGTCCAGCAGTGACACTGACGTGGTGGTGGCGTGTTACATTTACATTTACACTGAGGTGTTTAAAAACTCCAGCAGCACTGCTGTATCTGATCTACTCATACCAGCGCAACACATGCTTACACGCCACCACCATGTCAGCGTCACTGCAGTGCTGAGAATGCTAAAACTTGAAACTTTAACAGTGTTTACATATGAGATCAAACTCTTTTAATTCAAAAAAGTGAGAGATATTCATATTTCTATGAAATGGGCCCTTTAATGACCCTTGGAGGGGTGTTCCAAATGCGACCTAAACACTTGCACTGTAAGGTACTCATTTTAGTATACAAACAAAAACTCTGGACAGACAATATACAATACAATACTACATTCAGTATACTCAAATAAACAGATGCAATTAGCGTTCAGTTTGGAGCATTCCAAGCGTGCTCCCTTCCTAGGGCCCTAGGTAGGCAGCATCTACATTCGAGACGTCGGATTCTGACCACGTGACTCGGGTCGGCCCGGTATAGGCGGAGCTACGGCCAGTGAAGAGGAGAAGATGGCGGCGCGTGGAGGCTTTCAATCTGCGGCGCCCGGAGCTGGAGGAGCTGGTGGAGGAGGTGGCGGTGGAGTAGGAGGAGGTGGTAGCGGCGGCGGTGGTGGTGGGGAGCAGTTGGAACTGGGGGAGGTGGAGGAGGAATGGGACCTGGACCTCCGGTACCCGGTGCAGGACCAGGCATGGGCCCAGGAACACCAGCAGGGAGGATGGGACCCGCGGGCGCGCAGAATCACCTGTACCGCTCCCCGATGGCCGGGCCCGGTTACCCGGTAAGAGCGAGAACAAAGAGCGGCGGGTCACCGCGGGTTCACGCCGGCTACGCGTGTCCGTCCAGGGAGGAGTGGTTTGCTTTTTAAACGCTACACAGAGAAGAGAAATAAAAGGCCCCCACAAGCGAAGAAATACGAAAGAATAGCCAAGAAATAAAACGAAGCTGAAGCTTCTTTTTTGCTAGCGCTAGCTTCTCAGTCGAATTTTGCGTTCCACCTTAAATAGCGCCTTGGTTACAGCGGCACCATTTAAGGTGGAATGAAATAGTGGCATAAGAAAAGGATAGTCTCTCGTTGAAATAAAACAGAGTAAAGACATAAGAGCAGCATGTGTGTGAAAAAATACGAAAGAATAGCGAAGAAATAAAGCGAAGCTGAATTTGTCTTCGTGTTTGCCAGCTTCTCAGTCGAATTTTCCGTTCCACCTTAATGGTGCGTTAGTTACAGCTGCACCATTTAAGGTGGAACGGATATTCGAACAAAATACACAATTCTGCATCGTAGAAATGAAGTGAATAAGAAAGCAAGAATGTGAAGGTTAAAAAACATGGAAAGGAAGCAGCTGCTGTGTTTTGAACCGAAACCCCTGCAGTGTTAACTGAAGCAACGTTAATGATGCTAAATGTTGAGCTAAGCTAACTAGCGTGCGTTCGGCTGTTCTCATTTTTCTGTTTTATCGACTCTTTTGTTGTTTATTTGAGAGAAAATGTGTCGCAATGCGATGTCAAACAACTATACTTGTTTTTACGAGTCTTGTGAGCTCTAACTTTTAAATTTTTGTGTTTCTTGTTAGCTCTCATGTTAGCTAACTAAGTTAGCCTAGCTAGCCAACCCAGCTTTGTGTGGCCTGCTGTTGGCTAGCAGCGTGCATTCATTACAGTTTGAGACAGTTTAGTCAAACTCTGTGGCTTTTTACTAAATTCCCATTAGACTAGGGCAAAGTGGGTGATGAGTTAACGTTAACTAGCTGTGAGCCAAGGAATATAACCTAGCTAGTTTGGGACCATAAATGCTTCCAAATATTTGCAAAGGTGAGCTCTGATGTGCAGAAAGAACCTATAAGTATGCCTGCACTAATTGTAAGGTAGCAGTAGGTAGTACCGCTGTAAACTTGTATGGCTGTAAATATGTATTGTAAGTACGTTCATTTAAGGAAATTCTCGCAGTTTTTTTCAATTATATGGCATAATTCAGTCTTTGAGATGTAATCAAACTCATACAGATTGGTTTGTCGTGAGATGCTTGGTTAAAGATACGCTTACTGACTTTGATTTCGTTACCGTGGTGGTGATGGGAACCAGGTGTCACAGTGTGTACAGCGCATACAGTATATAGCCTGTTTATTTCCAATACAAGATTACTAGTGAACCTGTGTTGTCTTGATTTTTTATGTATAATGTTGATTGTCGTGAAACAATGGTAAACTCACATTTTCTTTGGGTACTGTTTTCCCTTGCATGGACCTCGCCACCATGAATTTTTCTGAAAAAGTTATTGGCAAAAAAACATCCAAAAACTATTGATAAATAGTTTCTTGGCCATCAGGCGACACATTCGTGATCATTCATGTAGTAACATACTGTGAGGTAGTTTTCAAAGGCATTTGGACATTGGATTCCCATCGCCACCGCTGTGAATGACTCTGACTTAAGTTTTTTCCTGAATGTGTTTTCACATCCAGTCATTCGGGTTATCTTAACTATTTGATTATGCAGAATTTTTTTAATATTGGTTGAACATCACTTTAATTAGAGAGCCTTGAAAGAACATTAGTCATGTCAATGTTCCTGCCAATCCTTCCCTACATCTCTTATCACTCAGGGACAAGTTTTCTTTTAAAGGAATGTTTCTGCTCTTGTCTCTGTGGCCTTGACAGCTTTCACACAAAGCGCGCCTTGTGCGTCAGTGGGCTTCAATGCCACTCAGTGCTCAGGTAAGGCGTGCGGTTGTTCAGCCTGAGCTTCAAGGTTGAAGGGGGATTGCTGTGAAAAGAGACCAGGTCCAGTACCTTTCTGACAAACATCTGACAAATGCAGCATTTGCTGCAATGAAAATAACAGGCTTCCAGCAGCATGGCCATTCAGCGCAGCGATGAAGTGCAGCAGAAGACATTTCACCCTTGGTATTCTGCACAAAATGGTAACATCACGGGAACTGTGGTGCGCCATGTACACGTCAAGCCGACGTCTGCACTGGTTGGGCCACATGTCTGCGTGTAAAATGTGACTGTGGTTGGAAGAATTCTCATTGAACGCATGCTGCTGTGCGGCTGCCGTTGAAGGACCTGCAGTCTAGCTGGACGGTTACTGACACGGTCAGTCTCCTAGTTAGAGCTCCAGTGGTCGCGTTCGCACACGAGACGGACAGGCAGGGTTTACTGGTTCAGTTTTTTCAGTGTACATGCAGTCTGAGACACGAAGTCGCTTGTTTGATTTCCTGGCTCATGGCTTGGTGAGTAGATCTCTTTTTAAATAAAAATAATAATAATAATAATATATTATTTAGTTCCTCGATGTCCAAAATGGCTTAGTATGAAATCTTATGCTATTAACTTCTTTGAAAGCAAGGATTGTTTTTTTTCTCCTGTAATGCTACCATGTTCAATATTTTGCATTTTGTCTTTTTACAGTATTTTTTAAAATTGAGTTACTACTTAGGTTGCATTTCTTTGTCTATAAATCAATATGAGCTTATCAAAGTGGAACTGAAGGGCCATGTTTTTGTGCCGTGGGTCAATATATGTTTGCATGCTTATGAGCAGGACTTCACCTGGGGCTTCCGTTACTGATAAAATAATCCTCTGACCTTGGCTTAAGTTTCCACCCAGCTTTGATCAGCTCACATTATCTGTGTGGGGAGGTTTCCCGTCTCTAGAGGATGGGGACTGAATTAGAATAAGTTTATTAACCTTGGTGTCTTGACTCTCCTAGTCTTTATTCCAACTGTGAGGAATCCCTCTGTAATGTCACTGGATGCCTGACTGCCGAATGGAGTAATATAAATATATAGTATATGTGAAATTGTGATGTAATCTTGCACTCTCCATGCAGTAAAAGGTTTGTTGTTCGTTTCAGCTCTGATATCAGTAGGTTGAACATTCTCCATGTGCCTGCTAGTTATTCCAGCTGGAGGAATCACAGAGTACATCAGCTTTTTGTGAAGCAGGCTCGTGCCACAACTGGGATTCTCACTGTGGGGTTTCTGTGTTCCGTGATGCTTTGAATAAGATATGTGTTGTTTTTTTAATTTTTAGATACAGCTGCTTGGTGAGTGAAAGGTCCATAGAGATCTGTCTGTTTTTCTACAGAATATTTACAGTACAAACAGAAATACAGCCTTTCTCTGTGTGATTGACAGACACTAAAAACAAACAGTTGGCTCGGTTCTGGTAGATCATTTACCAGTATGTCGTCTTTACTGGTTTACTGTTATTTTTACACATATATATATATATATATATATATATATATATATATATATATATATATATATATATATATATATATATTTATTTATTTAGTTATTAGGGCTGGACGATAAAACGATAAGCATCGCGATATAACTTCCTCGATAGAGCGATAAGACAGGTTCGATAAATGTTCGATATAATACACCATTCTCACACTTCCACGTTTTAGCGAAAGCCCTGGTGGCGTTTTCTACTGCAAGGAAAGCGACACTACTCTGCTGTCGCCAGGAGAGGGCGCACTTCCGAGTTTTTCGACTTGATTAGAGAGGGAGGGGGCCACGAGTAAAATGTTCTGTTTTACCAGGCTGAAGTCGCTTTTCACTCGCCAGCTTCTTGCTGAACTTTCCTGTTCCACCTTAAATTCTGACTGAGGCACCGAATGTAAATGCGGCACCATTTAAGGTGGAACGGTAAAGTTGGCCCCCAACTTCTGGTTTAAGAACCTCTGGTCTAGTGTCCATTCATCTAACCGATCTATTCCCCCTTCAATTGCAGAGACCTGGAATGCCCCCAGCCAATCGAATGACTCCTCAGGGCCCGTCCATGGGGCCTCCAGGCTATGGGGCCAGCCCGGTGTCTCGCCCAGGCATGCCAGTCATGGATCCCTCACGCAAGAGGCCCGCTCCAACACAGATCCAACAGGTCCAGCAGCAGAACCGCAACCAACAGTAAGTGCCCACAGATCTTCTCATTGAACGCTGTTTGTTTTCGGATATAAGTAGAACCTGTTTTAACATTTGTGGACACTTTATTTATTTATTTTTTTAATGTGCAATTTTTTTCCTTTTAGTGCCAAGAAAAAGAAAATGGCAGATAAAATTCTACCTCAGAGAGTAAGTGGCCGTGAAGGCAAAATTATTTCTCAAGTCACCCATCATTCATGGTGTGGTACTATAGAATCCAATGAGTGGATGTTTTCCTCATCTGCTGTGCACCTGTAATCTAAATGACTGTTTTGTTTTCTATGTTTCTTTCTTTTCATCACTGTAGATCAGAGAGCTAGTCCCAGAGTCTCAGGCTTACATGGATCTGCTGGCCTTTGAGCGGAAGCTGGATCAGACCATTATGCGCAAGAGACTCGATATCCAAGAGGCACTAAAGAGACCCATCAAGGTAAGTATGAATTAAAGTCAGCATCCATGATCATCGGCGCCTTGTTAAGGAACCCTAATATACATGCATTTAAAGCTAACTGCATGTTTTGCAAGGAAGTTGGAGAGGTGGAAAAGAGCAGTGCAAGGGCTTCTGTTGAGGATTGCACCATTGAGCAAATGCCCACCTAGGAATATACCAGTTTGTGGTTTATAGTTGGGTTTAACAATATAGTATAATTTGAATTGAAATATCAATATTGCAAATACCAATGTCACAGAAAGCTGCATTATGTGAATCCTCTAAAGGCGTATTTACAAACGTTTTTGCTTTGAGACACAGAACTGGTTCATCGACAGAGGCCATTGGCTCTGGAGTAGCGTTACAAATGTTTATACAACCAATCTTCAGAATATTACAACAGCCATGAAGTGCGTATTAAATCTTTGAGAGAGAGAGAGAACATCCTGACCAAACCCAGGCTGTCTCCATCAGATTGGTTCAGTTTTTGATTTGGAACGTTGTTTTGATTCAACGGACATAAATAACCATGTAATCATGTCACAGAAGCTCCTGCATTGCATAGCATATTACAGTGCAGTTATAACTAATGGTAAAATGGTATTTTGACAATGACATGCAGCTCTAATTAAAAGTCCTTCAGCGTTGTTTGTTTCAACAAGATCTCTTTGAGGCAGAATGTAATAGGAATGCACCAAATGACGCTCAGTCATAAGGATGGGGTTGGATGGTAGTTGGTTTAAATTAATCTTGTACATGAATTTATTAAAACCTGTTCTCTTTATTTAGCAAAAGAGAAAGCTGCGCATCTTTATCTCCAACACTTTCAACCCTGCCAAGCCTGATGCTGAGGATGGCGAGGGCACCGTAGCATCTTGGGAGCTACGAGTGGAAGGACGACTGCTTGAGGATGTAAGTTGATGCATGTTTCGGATGCTATAGAAGTACAATGACAGCTTGCTATGGACTTTGCATTTTGTTTTACTTTTTAATTAGTTATTTTTTAAAATATTTGTTTGTTAGTTGCTTGTTATACAGGGTGATTCAAAAAGATGAACCGATTTCAAAATTATTTATTTCACTTGTAAATCATATAAAACAATGCAGTAAATTGTAAATGGCTTAAATGAGTAAGTTTATGTGATTACAAGTGCTCAATATGAACCTCCTCCAGCTGTACTGACATCAACGAGATCAAATTCATCCCATACTCACTTAGCCATGTCGGGGGGTCTCTGTACTCACGGCTATTTCGGAGGTCATCCAGTGTTGTGGAACCAACGACAGCTCTGAGCTGTTGAAGGTTCACTACTGACAAATCACGTTGCACAGTTACGACTGATTCACTCTTATTGAAGTGGAGAACGCAAAATGCTTTCTGCACAGGGGTCGCCATCTCCTCACAGATTGAAGGGAGCCATCTTCCGGTGACGGTCAAACTCTATGACCCCCTCTTTCAGTTGGTGTGTGATTGGTTCTTAGGTCCCTCACGGTTGTAAAAATATGGCGCTTGAAACTGTGAAGTAAGGCTGGGCAGTATAACAATAAATATCCTTTTTTTTTTTTTAATGTGGCACCACTGGTTCTTTATTCTGTGTTTCAACTGATTAAATATCTGAAAAAAAAAAAATGACATTAAGAAATTTTTACAATACACAAAGTGTCACAATATAATTTTGCTGTATTGCCCACCTCTACTTTCAAGTGCAAAAGTAGACTGCCGCGTTTGTGAGGGGCACATAAAAATATTCAGACTTTTTTAGCATGTTTAATATTATTCCCTTATGAATTTGGTCTTAAAAACAAGAAATATCATCAGGATAGTGAATAGTAAGTGGTAGAGCGTGCTTGCTGTAAGTCAGGTGTGTTTATTGGCCGGTATGGTAACTTCATGGTAACTTTGTCACAGAAACCCATGTATTTCTCTCTTTGTTTGTTTGTTTATTATTGTTGCTGTTTTTATGCAAAAATTATGTGAACATACTGTGAACTGTCCAGCCCATACAGTCCACATTATAGAAACTAAGCAGCTAAAAAACCAGCCTGTTTCAGATTCACTGTTTTTGAGGTCAAGCAAGCCATCACATACCCATAGCACCAGCCCATTCACACTGAAGTTATACAGACTGTTTCAACCTGGATGGCTTTTTGAATGGGGCACAATACATTACAGCTAGATCAGAGCTTATTTACATACACCAGTATTAAAGAAACAAAAACAGCCTGAGTATTTATAAGTCAGAACGGTTGTAAAATGTTAAGGTAAAAATGAATGGCTGTTGGTACATGTCATGAGTGGACTTCAGGAGGAAAAAGTGCAACAGTAATGTGGGATATGGGCCCTAAAAATTACATAACTTCAGTTTTTCATTCTCAGGTTTTGGTTGCTGTTTTTCATTTTATGAAGGTTTTCTTTTTTTCCTTCTTCAAATTCCATAAGCCCTAAAGACAGTCTAGACAGGAGTTACATTCACTTGATGGATGCGTTTTTGCTGTGAATGTGTTTTTAATTAGAAGACTGCAGTGAATCGGAAGGATAAGAACACTTTCTCTTTCAGACTGCTGTATCCAAATATGAGGCCACCAAGCAGAAAAGGAAGTTCTCTTCTTTCTTCAAGTCTTTAGTAATTGAGTTGGACAAAGACCTGTACGGGCCTGACAATCATTTGGTAGAGGTAAGACCCCAACTTTGATGGCTGTCAGTCATCCAAGGTTAGGTTATTTGAAATGTAACTTTAATAGCTTTAATGATGCATCTTCTACTTTTTTTCCCCACAGTGGCACAGAACGCCCACTACTCAGGAGACTGATGGCTTTCAGGTGAAAAGGCCAGGAGATGTTGGGGTGCGCTGTACTGTCCTCCTAATGCTCGACTACCAGGTAACTGCAGCATTTCAGTTTACTTATCTGTTTGTAGCGTAATAATGCTTTTGACTTCATTACTTACTGATGGAGTCACACATTCTTAGTTTCAGCACGTGACTTTCACACCCCTGTCCATACGTGTCATAAATGCATCTGCCTGTTCAGCCTACGGCAATTTAGCTCTGTCCATTCATGCTAAAGTCATAAAGAGAGTTTCAGCCTCGACTGCTTTTGTGAGACACAAAACAGGAAGGTCAATTAGAACAGAGCTAATTTACATATAGCTGTCTTAAAAGCACAGTAACAGTCAACTTGTTCAATTCTAAGGGCTGGGGTTGTTGAGAAATGGTCATGTAAAAATGACTTGGTTTTGGTACATGAATGCTATGAGTGGACTTCATTGAAAATAAAAGTGCAAGAAAAATGTAGGATGTGGGCCCTTTCAATATCTCATCATTACAGTGTTCACAGGGGGGAGTATTTTATGCAGTTTTATTGCAAAACTATTCATATTCTTGATCACCACCAGGTGTCACCACATCACTGACATGGATCGGAGCTCAAGGACTATTAATATAGCATAGGGCTTTCGTAGTCCAGTAATCTGTTATACTAGTTGATGTGCCTGTTCAGTCAGTCATCAGCAATACTTAACCCTTAATTACATAAATGTTTTACCAATAGTGTCTGCACATTTTCCTAATAGTGTGAAACTATATATAGTAATGATAGTCATATTCATGTATGATCTTTTGAAATATATTTTTTTTAATTTATCTGAAAATAAGCAAGGTAGAGTGGGAGGGCAGTCCAGATGCATTGTTAATGTAATAAAATCAGGAAAGGGGTTTCTGTTAAACAGCTTTTTTCTGCCTACTCCAGCCACCTCAGTTTAAGCTGGACCCCAGACTGGCCCGTGTGCTGGGCATCCACACTCAGACCAGGCCAGTGATTATCCAGGCTCTGTGGCAGTATGTGAAGACCCACAAACTACAGGACCCCCATGAGCGCGAGTTCATCAATTGTGACAAGTACCTCCAACAGGTAAGAGCTTGATTTGGTAATGATTATAACCATGCACTCATTTTAGCTGATAATTCTGGTTCTATCATTATGTAGAGGTGTTTTAAACCACTTTTTGTTTCCTGTAGATCTTTGAGACCCAGAGGATGAAGTTCTCTGAGATTCCTCAGCGCCTGCATGCTCTACTGATGCCCCCGGAGCCAATAATCATTAACCATGTAATAAGGTAGAAAACTGTCATTTTGATGTAGTCGTTTGGTGTACTGTTTTGTGTAGGGTTGTTTAGGGTAGAGTAAGTGAATGTTAACTGAATATCTGTTCTGTAGCTCTTACAGGTAGTCCTATGCAAAAGTTAAGGCACCCTGATCAAATTGTTTTGTTGATTTAAGTGAAAATAAGTAAACCCGTCCTCTACAGAGAACACACTTCTGTGCATTTTAATGCAGTTACTCAATTTGCTTTATTTAAGTGCCTCTAAAATACCCATTAATGCATGGTCTACTTGCCTGACCCTAGTGTGGACCCCAATGACCAGAAGAAGACTGCTTGCTATGACATTGATGTTGAGGTGGATGACACTCTTAAGACTCAAATGAACTCATTCCTACTGTCAACTGCTAGTCAGCAGGAGATTGCAGGCTTGGATAACAAGGTAAGCAGGCAAACACTTTGCCATATTTTTGTGATGTTTTAAAATTTGTTAAAATTTAATAAAGTTGTACAGTTAAAATGATCCAGAGGTTAACTTTACCAAAACACATGTTCCAGATTATTTGAGGGGGAGTGAAATCTTGATACATTAACTTCCATTGAAGGTTAAGGTTTTTTCCTTCTTCTGTAAATTTGTCAAGTTACCATTTGAGACATGAGCTTTTGTTCAGGTTATAGAGCAGCAATAGTGACATCCTGCATACTACACATTGCTCCTTTTGCCAGGAGATGAGTAGAATTTGTCTTCTTTGACAATATAGGGTTTGGTGATGTTCTTTCATTGATCAATTTTGGCTCTAGGGTCAAATGTTTTCCATTGTTCCCTTTATTGGGTTGCTTACCCAGTTGGCTCACAGAGGCTGTTACTCATACGTTGATTACATCACTGGCCTGTCAGCACTGTGTGCTGTAAGGTCATGCTGACTGACTTGCTACCTCCCAAAACCATGCAGAGCTGTGACCAAAGTGGTCAGAGGGCTTTTTTCTGTTAGCACATACAGTGAAGAAAATTAGGTGAAAGATAATCTTCTGTGAAATGTTCTGTTGGTGTTGTGTGGTGACCTTTGTCTTGTAGTGCTGCTGGTGGGATTTGAATCCTACATGAAATTTAATGAGCAATGAAATTCTCCTATGACACCCTCACCCTTTTTCATGTAGTTTAAATGAATGCCAGCGTGAACTGTGGCCATCTCCCCTGGCTGTGCATGCAGAGAGTAAATGCACACAGTGTGAATGTACCCTGGTATGAGTGTTGGATGACGCACAGACATTGAGGCTGCACTGGTATATAAACCTTTCTGTAGCTGAAAGGTAATCACTGAGTCCTCTGGGTCGTAGCCCCACAAACCTCAATTGGTTTAACACTGATTTCTTTAGCTTCTGCCTAAAGTCTCGGCCTGTGTGTTAGTCCTGCCTGTATGAGAGAAGTGTCCGTAACTTGCATTAACTTGGCTCAGAGTGCAGTCAGTAAGCCCTCCGTGGCTGTAACTACAAAGTCCGGATCTGAGGCTTATCGTTGTGGTTGCAGAGCCAAGGCAACTGCCCTCAAGTTCAGCCTTTTCTGTCTTTGTTCTTTTTGGTTCAACAGTCCCCAGACACTGCAGGGGAGTGTGCTACTGCTGTTTTTCTTTAGGTCCGAAGGTCTGCAGCCTTGTTTTGCTGCACACCCTGTTCCTTTCCAGCATATATCAAAGTGCTGTGCATCCTCCGGTGAAACAGTTCTGTTTGTCTGGCAACATATGGTGTTGCACAATAGAAATGATAAAACATAGGGTGTGTCATGGGAAAACTTTTACTGCTAATGTTTAGTTTCGCCACATTGTGTTCATCTTGGTTTCATCTTGAGTTTTGAGACCCTTCGCTGGTCTGCTAATGATTTATTGAGTGGGCAGCTCTGGTCGGGGTTACACTTGTGCCCTTGTGACACAGGGCCCAATCTAGTGCCATTTTGCAACTCCTGTTCAGCATAATTACTAAAATGACACTTCAGACCAGTGAACTTTGCCTTTTTGATCCCAGTGCAAACGAGTTTGCTTAGTAGTAATGCTTTACATAGCTAAGCTAATCTATGTGGGTTTGAGATTCAAGTGAAACATTTCTGGCCAGGATCCCAGACATAGATTAAGCATAATCCAGAACTAAACTGCGTTTGTGTTCATGCAAATTTTTTCATTGAAAAAACGGTGGTGGGGGAAAAACACAATGTTCTTTCAGTTCTTTTGGACATGATGGACCTCTCAGCATTTTTGTTTACTTTTTCACTTTGCCTTGAGCCCATCTTTTTTACAGCTAGTTCTCATGTTCCCTTTGACCTGGTTTCCTCACTAGTCTGCTTGCGGTGATCCTGCCGATTCCACCATTCAGTGCAGTCATTAACCTTTTGTAATTACATTGTGTGTGTACTGTTTTTATTTTAAAATCTTTATCAGATGATTGTGCTATAAAGTACTGTAATATGGTGTAAATGTTCACCTGTGTTGGCTTCACCTTTTAGATCCATGAGACCATTGAAACCATCAATCAGCTGAAGACTCAGAGGGAGTTCATGCTGAGCTTTGCCCGCGATCCTCAAGGTTTCATCAATGATTGGCTGCAGTCACAGTGCAGGGACCTGAAGGTGAGCCCACTGAAAACCACACCTAAAAATGGTTGAAAGCCATTGACTAGTCATAAAGCTCCTTGTCTGAGTGCTGCTTTTGGATCATTTCTCTACAACACATTGTAAAACATCCCAAGCAGTGATCTAATCCTAGATCAGCAGTGCACTCTTAAAACATTAGAATGGTAGGTTTAAGTACCTCCTTGGTCAGTCAGAAAGAGATAGGAGCGATTGCTTAACCTTCACCCCAGCCCTCCATTAGTCCCCATGGCTTTATTGTGTGCTCAGCTGTTTGGTGGTGGGCCAGTGCCTGGCTGACTGGACTTCTAATGACATGGAAGGGGATGTATGAGAGCGATTCCTGACCAAAGGTTGCTGACACTTTTGTGCTTCTACAAAAGTGCAGATGTCAAAAGGGGCTGAAAGTGCAGCTAAACAATGTCTAAAGGTTTGATCTGCTAACTTTGTGAGTTCTAGATTTCACTGCTTGTTAATCTTAGGTTTTAATGTATTTTAATCTCTCACTGTTATGTTCCATGTTCCATGCAGACAATGACTGATGTAGTTGGAAACCCAGAAGAAGAGAGAAGAGCTGAGTTCTACTTCCAGCCATGGGCTCAAGAGGCTGTATGTCGCTACTTCTACTCCAAGGTAAGGCTCTGTGTGTTTAGCCAGATTGTGGTGGGGGGGGTTCATGCGTTCCCTATATGACCCAAAACGTATTGTATAAATATTAGTCATCTAATATTGGAGAACAGCTACTGAAAATCTTATCAGGCTCATTCCGAATCCTTAGTTAGTTTTCCCTGAAATAAATTATTTATTTTAACAGGTCCAGCAGAGAAGACAGGAGCTGGAGCAGGCTTTGGGCATCAGGAACACTTAAGCAAGAATGGACACCCAGGAGGATGGGAGGCAGACGAGGCTGCAGGATGGTGAAGTTTGTGTCAGTGCTGTTGGACTGGGCTGCCATCTCTTGGTTAATAATCACAATGACATTAAACTACAGTTTATTTGCCTGCTTTCTTGGTGCAGCTGGTTGGAGAGCATGTTAGGCTCTGCTCTTGCTGAACAAGAATGATCTGACTTGGTTCGGTGCCCCTTTCACCCAAAACTCCTTTGAAGTTCATTGTCTCCTTCTCTGCTCTGTCTTCTTTAGGTGAAGGGGTAACCTCCTCCTTCTGTGTTGGCCTGCTTCCACTGTTTTTAACCTATTTGAAGTAGAGATATTCCTGATGGCTGTTCTGAAAATGATCTCTCCAAAAATCTGTACATTTTATCCTTTTGTAGGCTACTAACAGAAGATGTGGCAACAGTGTGTTGTACTTTATCGTTAATGTGCTGGGATGTGCGTGTCCAGTGATGAAGACTAGACTGAAAGCCGCAAGCGTGTTAGGGTACCGGGAGTGACGGCAACTACAGGCTGTTCCTATGTTCCATATGTTGGACAGCTTGGAGGGAAAGCACAAATTTTCACTCCCAGTTGTAAAACTCAGCTCAACTTTATCAATATGGGAATGCCCATTAGGGGCCTGTGTGAGGAGGTTAAAGGGTAATTCCACTGATGTTTCAAAATGTCGGTGTAAATCAGTCAGCAAGTTGTAAACAAACTCGGAGTGGTTGGATGTGAAATGGTCCTCTGAGAAACATACTCAGATTTCTTTACAGTGGTAGTGATAGGAACCAGGGGTCGCCATGTCTACCGCCATGTCCCACCAATGGCAGTAACTACATTTAACATCATCATGAAGTCAACCTGAAATCAAAATTGAATGTTTTTGCCTTGTTAGTTCTTGCCCCCCTCATTAAGCACAATAAATTGTATTATTCATTTAAAAGACGAAGTATAGTCTCACAAATATAGTCTTCATTTACTGTCCAAACCACCAGTGAACCTACACGGGTCTTCAGAGTTTTATAGCTAATATATCTGGGGAAAAAAATGTTTTCTTTGGGGTCCTTTTGCCTAACGCTGGCCTGCATGTTCTCTTCCTTGCAGGTATTTTAATGTTTTGGCACAAAACCGTACTGTAAAACGTCTCAGGCATCAGGCAGCTTATGTCCATTTTGTGTGATAACTTTTTAAAGGCTTCAAACTCTTCAGACATCTCATTCCAGTCACCACCACTGTGAACAAAAACGGAGCACTTCACATCAAACCTCTGAATGACTACATTTCCACGATTGAATTATACAGACATTTTTGGAATTCTCCTTTAATTAACATGGCTTTTACCTCAGTGCTCCATGCCTTTCCTCGTAGCATAAGATGAATGTTGTATGAGGTGATAAGAAGCCTTCATTGAAAGAATTTTGTCTAACCTAAATCCCTCATATAACTGACAATTTTCCACTACTGTATTCTACCACGGTTTGTTTTCCTTATTTAAAAAATAGTCTTTTCTTTCACAAACAGGTGCTGCATAGATTCTAGTAGGTTTCAGAACTGTCGGTTTGCCTAGAAATAACAGGAGTTACATTGTGGGGCCATTTTTATCACTTTTTGCAGAGGGTCGATATTTGTCTTGGATATTTTTATGTTACAATATGGAGGATATTAAGATTAGTTAGCTGTAGATTAATAAAGGAAGTAGTTTAGTACCTCAACTCTACAAAGCTATGAAATTGTAAGCGAATGCTTAGAGCTAGTTAATTGGCATTAAATATTACATTGGTCAATATGAAAGGCCGCTATTATTGGCTAGTTCATGGTCCGTGCTCAGGTAATTTGCTCCATGTACACATTTCAGCAGGTTTAGTTTACCATTTTGCTGATCATGTCTCACTTTTACGTGACGGACAGAGAAGTCCAGTGATTGGCTGCTGTGGTGTAACCATGTCTTGAAGAATTAATTCACTGAAGCCATAGACTTTGAGAAGAAGGAAAAGTTGTGGTGATGTGCTTAAGACTGAAACATTCTCAGTGCTTTAACTTGTTAACGTTGTGTGCGTTGCTTCATTTGGCAAGCATAAGAAACAAAGCTCTACAAGTTATTTTATTTTATTATTTTTTTCTTTTATGGACCAAACTTGTTTCAATTTGTCAGCCCTTACAATAAAGACTGTCTTGTATTGATGTTTTGTTTGTGTGTCATTAATCCACTTTGAATCACAGCCTCAGGTTGTTACTAGCGGAAGTGATGAACTCTAAAGTGATTACTTTGTTGCTGGAGATTTGCACTTTACTGAAGTATTACTTGTATTACTTCATTGCATTTATGAGAAGAAAGAGAACCTACTTTTTGTTCCTTACATCTTAATTTAGAACCTCAAACCACTTGTTACAGAACTCAAAAGCATTCTTGTGCATTTTATTTTTATATAAATGTCCAGTCAATTTCAAATCAGGGTAAAATGAAAGCTTTCACAAATTTGTTTGTTTTAGTGCAAGGACGAGTACTAGCATGAATGTTTCCGTAGCATTAGCGTATGGTTCTCCTTTGGTTGTTTTTGTTGGGAACAGTTCCATAATGTTCCGACAGTGTTCTGTTTTTGTTGAAGTTGGTGCTGTTCCCAAAAGTTGGTAAAAGTTCAGATTACTTAAAATGTAATGTCTTTTTTTGTTGTTTTGTTTTTTTTAAGAAATAACAAAACCTTTAGTCAAATGCTGCTTTTAGATTTGTTTTCACAAACTTATAATAACTAACTTTACCTGAACATTAGTTTACAGTTATGTTTTATTTTAATCCCACGTACCACGTATTATCACAACTGCTGAATGTTTGTGTTGATTTTACATCATTTACAAGTTTGTTGAAAAGGGTTATGCAGAGTGTGATCAACTTGTGCCCAGCATTAAAGATGAGTTCCAGGAGGAAAAAAGAAATCTGTGTAATCAGATGGTTAAGATGTAAGTCGTTCAGTGTGGTCTGAGAAACCATCAACATTGTACACAGTCATTATGTTAGGAACCAGATGTCTGAAGCTTTTAAGGCCTCTTAAATCTACTTCAGAAAGTTATTACATAAAATGGTGATGAATGTGTGTCCTGATGTCTGAGACATTGTTTTATGATCATTTTAAGTCTTAATATTTTAAGTCCTTTCATGGTGGAGAGGCACATGCAGGCTGTTTTAAGGCGAAATAGTCCCCCAAAAAACGTATTTTTCTCAGATTTACCACTACTTTTACCATCATCAGTGTTTTAAAGAACTAAGAACACAAGTGTAGGTCCACTGATGGCTTTGGACGCCTGGTTCCCATCACCTCCACTGTAAAGAAATCTGAGTCTCTAATCAACCATTTCACACCAAACCACTCATGGCTTAGTCCATGATTCGATTATCTCAACGACTGAGTCAGTGAGTGAATTAAGCAGATTTTTTTACAGAAATTCCCCTTTAACATTACTTCAGTGTAACACAAAAAGTCCTTAAAAGACTTTTAATTTCTTAACATATTTACTTTTTTTAATCTTGTATACAATAGTATGTTAACATGAAGATTCTTTATGACACAAAGTATAATTTTGCTCAATACTTCCACTTTTAATTAACTTGAAGGGGAACTCCACCAACTTTTTGAAATTTCTGCATAATTAAATGGTAAACAAAGTCATTGGTGGTTTGATCTTAAATACTCTGTTTTAGAGAAAGAGAACTGTTCACAGTGATGGTGATAGGAACCAGACGTCCACCTCTAAAAGCTAATTATTCACTCTGAGACATTTTACAGTAGTTCTGTAAAATAGTAATTTGGCCTTAAAAGTATTTTAATCTGTTCATGGTGGAGGGATACATGAAGGGTGTCCTAAGGCAAAATAGTCCCCACAGAAAACTTTTTTCAGATTTATCACCACAATCATCAACATTCCATATAAAAACTCAGAAGACGCGTGTCGTTCACTGCTGGTTTTGTATAGTAAATAAAATGTCTGTATTTGTGTTGTAGATATGGTGACTCCTGGTTCCCATCACCACCACTGTAAAGAAATCTGAGTTAGCAAGTTTCTCTACAAATGAACCCGTTTCACACTAAACCACTGAGTGAGTTTTATTACACCTCAGCCACTGATTTATGCAAAGATTTAGAAAAATGGGTGGAACGGCCCTTTAAGTATGTTCTTTCTGAACTTTTTCCCACTCCTGCAGGTCATCAGCCCCTCTATATTTGTGTTTACCTCCCAAGAGGGGGAGGCTGCTTTGGGAAAGGGTTACTGACGCCAAATCCTGGATCTAAAAATGCTTTTAATATTCATATTCACGAAAATAAAAGCATCCCAACTTTCTGCAGCGGTGTCTTATATAAATGAGTGGAAGGGGGCGTGAGCAGCACTGCCTCCCTCCCTCATGTGGACTATAAATACGGCCCGGCTCCGCAGCAGCGCTGCTCGCAGAAGGCAGAAGTGGCTCCCGGAGAAACAGCGTCCAAGAAAAGTCCCACAGGCTACAATGGCAGCTAAAAAGGTCTGCATTATCGGCTCGGGCAACTGGTAAGTGTCGCTGCTCGCTGTCTGCGTTACTGTGTGAGCTGCACAGGCGGCCCTGCTCTATTTTAGGCTGCAGAAACTGATCCGCCTCTATGAGAACTTTTCTTACCCGTGATTCAAACCGCGGCAGGTCATCCTCAGAGAATCCGCTCCAAACGCGGTTTACACGGTCTCTGGTCTGCTGGAGCTAGAACGGTTCCCCGTACAGGTTCTCCTGCTGCCTGCTAGTTTACTACAGCAGGGTAAATCAGGCCACGGGCCGCATAGGAGTTTCAAATGTTCAGATGCTGGACGGGCGTGACGTCAGCGCAGACCTGTTTCCTTAAGATGGAAATTGTGCTGAGTAACAGCCTTTATGGGAGAAATGCTGAGTAATAGCTTTAGAGGAATAGAGCCAACGTGCCCCCTCTGAGGAAGCGCGTTTCCGCCTCTGGAATACGGTTTATTCCACTTTAGTTCATCATTATAATGAGAATGTTTACTATAATTATGACTCCTGAGGCTTACATTCTCAGAATTCTGACTTAATATCTCATGTGACTTACATTCTCATAATTATGACTTAATATGTCATAATTCTGACTTACTTTCTCATAATTGTGACTTACTATCCTCAAAATAATGAGATTCAATCTCATGACAATCTCTCATGTGGCTTACATTCTAATAATTATGACTGTGATCTAATATCTCACAATTATGACTCAATATCTCATGTGGCTTCTATTCTCATAAGTGTGACTTAGTATCTCATAATAATTAGATTTTATCTCATAATTGTGACCTTATGTCTCATAATTATGACTTACTGTTTCATAATAATGATGTTCAATCTCATAATTGTGACTTAAAATCTCATGTGACTTCTATTCTCATACTTCTCACGTAATATGTCATAATTCTGACTTACTTTCTCATAATTGTGACTTAATATCTCCTAATAATGAGACTCTATCTCATTATTGTGACATAATATTTCATAGTTATGACTTACTTTCTCATAATAATGACTTACTATCCTCAAAATAATGAGATTCAATCTCATTATGACAATCTCTCATGTGGCTTACATTCTAATAATTATGACTGTGACCTAATATGTCATAATTATCACTTACTTTCTCATATTCATGAAATTCAATCTCATAATTATGACTTAATATCCCAATGTGACTTATTTTGTCATAATTCTGATTTACTTTCCCTTAATTGTAACTTAATATCTCATTATAGTGTCTTAGCATTTCATAATTATGAGACTTTTCTCATTATTATGAGATACTAAGTGTTAATTATGAGAATCTAAGTCATAATTATGAGATATTATGTCATAATAATAAGAAAGTGTCATAATTATGGAAAACTTTCTCATTGTTGTGACTTACTAAATGGCTATATATCTTTCTCTGGCGGCAGAAATGGGCTTTCATACCCCTCAGAAGCATTTCCCCCCCCATTGAGTTTTTCCTAATGAATTTTGATCTGCGTGTTTTATCATATATAATTTTTACATAGAGCTTGAAAAGGTGCTTGTAGAAACTCTTAATATGCCACTAATGCAGCACTGTTCTAATACTGTTCCACGGTTCTTTTCATCTTCTGGTAGGAATGCAAATAGAATATAAACATATATTTACAACATTAAGTGCTAATTTCTGATCACTCATATCTTTCTCACCATATATGTACCTATATTGTTTATGTACAGATTTCTCTCCAGTTTTGCTATTGCTACTGTTCTTCCATAAACTGCTTCGATTCCAGTTAGATTGTTTAATTAATTCTTTTTTTATGTGTAGCAGAATGAATGAAAACAGTTTTGTGCTCATGTGAATTTTACACAGACAAGAACAACTTTAACGTGAACTCAATTTACAGCAGATTTACAGCATTTTATCTAGAGGAACAGTCTAATCCTATTTCAGAGAAGAGCAAGTGTCGGCAGCCAGCCTAACAAGGCTAGCATAGCTGCCTGAGCAGGGAATCGAACCCCCATCGAACAAATATTTTGCAAGAGATTTTCAAACCCTGTCAAGTCTATCAAGACTTTACATATAAACATCACATCCCCAGCCTCAAAAAGATGGTCCAGCTTGACATTTAGGCCTCAAGTGCAAAATCCACATTATACTGATGAAGATATGATGACCATAGTAAATAATTCATTTACATCCCCAGTCCTTCACCAAGCTTTAACTGAGTTCTCTTTGAATACTCTTTCAACACACTCGCAATCATCAAGTTCATCCACTCCCAGGGGGTCTGAAACACAACCCACGTTACAAACTATTCCACATTGTGTGCAGTTACACATTCCCACCAGAGAGGGCTCCAAATCCCCAAATCTTACATAGTGCTACTTTAAGTGGAGCGATCACTGTTAGGAGACAGAGGGCTTATCTTCTCACTTTAGGCTGTATCAAACCAATGGAAGAGCAGGTCAGACAGTCATTAAACAGAGCTGTGATCTTGTGCAGACTCTGACTCCAAAAGTATGAACGAATCGTACTCCAGTTTATCCATATTTACTGGCCAGCAGCTTGGAAAATTCCTGCTGCAGCTGTTTGTCGAACATTGTTTGACTCACCCGGCAGTATCTATTAGTTAACTTCAAAGTATGGACTTTTCTGTAGAAGATCAATAAGGAGCGCTGTCAAAGTCTGCTCTGTTTACAGAGAGCAGGCATTTGGACTAATGCTCTGTACACAGTTTAGGTTGCACTGGAACATCCTGGATTCGGAAAAGAAGTCTAGTGTAAGAATTACGATTAGATGTACTAGAGTAAGCTCATATCCATGTATGACTAAGCAAGTCATTTTGAAGATATTGCTTATGTGTACATGCTTTAAAATAAATGTTCCTAAATGGTTCTTGGCTTATGAAAAACCTTAATTGATACAGAACCTGTATATTATTTGGAGGTTCTTTAAAATGTGCTCCTTTAAAAGGTTTATTGAACCTTCACCTAATATAAAGACTCTATTCCAGTGATAGAACCAATTACAAAAAAGAGCCCAACAAAATATATATATATATATATATATATATATCTCTCTCCCATGTGTCAAACACAAGCCCCGTAGGGCCAAATCAGGCCCGTGGCACAATCCTATTCTGCCCACAAAATTCTATTAATATTGGCCCATTTTACCAAGAGCTGCACTACAGTTCCCAGCATGCACTGTGAGATAATGTGTGCTCCCACCCCCTCCCCAGCAAAGATCTAAAAAAAAAACAAACAAAAAAAAAAACGCCAGATGTCTAGTTCAAGCGAATGGGCAGTATGTAGTCTATTGGTTTATGTAAAACAATTTATTTTTATTTAAAATTATTTTTGAATCGTTCATGTGTTCAGTCGCTATTATTTGCCAGTGTAGTTTTGACATATATTGAATAAACAATGGCCGGTTGAGGTCATAGCAAAATGTTAAGTACCACGGATTTATTGTTTGTTGGCCCCTGTTCTAGATGATGGAGAACTTATATATGGTTCTTTATAGAACTTTACAAAATGGTTCGTCAAAAAGGGTTCAACTACTGGTTCAAACAACCCATTTTGAGTGTATGGCACCAGTCCACCCATATGGAAAAAAAAATTTCCAAATGTATTTCTCAAATATATTTTTTCAATATATGAAAAATGTATGAATTAAATATATTTTCAATTGCATTTCCAAACGTGTTTATCAAATATATTCTTGCAAAGAAGGAAAATGGCCAAAAAATGTTTTTGTTGAATGTTTTTAAAATGCCCTTATTTTTATATTTGTTATTGTATTTTTTCAATCGTATGTAGTTTTAACAAAGATCACCAATGTAACTAAATGGTAGTGACTTCTGTGATCTGCACTGTACTTTGCATTAACTATGTACAACCATAACTGCATATTCGCAGTTCGTCAGTACCTACAGCACTCGCCTTTGCCCTGTTAAAGGTTCAGTGGCTAATATTTAAAATTAAGATACTGTAATACAAATTAATTCCAAAATTATTCCAAACAGTAAACAGTGCAATAGACGGTATTTTGGCTGTTTTGATACATTTTCAAATATATTTGATAAATACATTTTCATACATTTTATTTTTATGTGGTACATAGATGTAATATTTGTGGTTCTAGATGTAATATTTCCCCAGACATTTTAAAATAAATGTATTTTAAAATATATTTGGTGAATATGGCAGTATATTCTGAAATACATTTTAGTGTTTGGCATGTATTTAGCATATACTGCATATATATATAAATACTTGTCCATATAATTTTTTCCCATATGGGCAAGGAACCCTCTTTGGAACCTTATTTGTAAAGGTGTTCTAGATACTATGTAAATATGTTCCTGTAATAAATAGAAAGGAATGGATAAATGAAATGCAGTGTGAAATGACCGCTGAGATGGCCTTCTCTGTTTTAGATCGGTTTATAATGAAACAGGGCAGTGCAGCTCAGAGTCATTTCTTAGGCTGTTTATCCTTCAGGCCTGAATTAAATTCGCTGTAACTGAAAGTAATGGTGCCGCCGAGGCTAACAGGGTTGCCATGACTACCACCCTGCCGCCAAAACTGCTGCATTGCAGAATCCCACACTTTCTTCCTACCTTTCGCTGCAGTGGCCTCATCTGAGCTAAGGTTAATTACTGGTTACTGTTTTAGTAAATGTGTAGGAAGTGAAGCTCCACCATCTGTTAATCATTACACAATGTCTGAACAACAACAACCAGTGTATAATAATCACATAATGTGCATAGTAAGTACAGTCTTACGGATAAAGGTGCCAGAAAGGGGTCATAACATAAATGAACTGCTTTTTGCTCCCTAAAGAACCTTTGAATGGATTATTATTCACATAATAAAGTTCACATAATGTAAAGGTATGCCATTTATTTGGGTTTTTCCTAGAACCGTACATCCCTGACATGAACTGTTTAGAATCGTTTAATTTTAAGAGTGTAGCTGATTGAAAGACAGCCCATTACAACATTACCATATCCTGTTTTTACTTGGGATGAATAATGACATCGGAATCATATGGTAAATATTTAGATTTGACCGATATTAGACGATGTATTTCATCTAGTGAGTCACTGTGCTAAAATATCTATATTTTACTCTACAGTGATACATTTTATATTTCTCCGTTGTGCTAATCCAGGTAAATCTAAACCTAATTTCTACATTTTATTCATTTCTACGTTCCCGCATCAGCAGATATGTACATTAAATATTTTACGAATGTAGCACAAATAAATGGTTAAATAATGGTTTAGAGCAGTTTAATGTGAAAAGCTCAGTTCTTGAGAAACTTAGAGATGGAGTTGTTCACAGTGGTGGTGATAGGAACCAGACGTCCACCTCTAAAAGCTCCCTCACAGAAAGTTAGTACATGGAAATTGTTACGAATACGCTGCCTGGTGCCTGAAACATTGCTTTATGATAGTTTTGACAAAGTTTTTGCCTTTAACATATTTATTTAAACGTATTTATGGACATGGCAGGGTGTTGTGATGCAAAATAGTCCTCAAAGAAATAATATTTTTTCAGATTTATCACTATATTACCATCATCAACGTCACATATAAAAACTCAGAAGACATGTGTAGGCTCACTGGTGGTTTTGGATAGTAAATAAAATGGCTGTATTTGTGTTGACTGCAGCCTAAGGTTTCTATCACCATCAGTCAGTTGGTTTCTCTATAGCAAATGTGTCAGGTTCCAGTCCTTGCAGGCCAAAACTCTGCAGACTTCAGCACACAGCCTCATTAAGTATACCTGATTCAGCTCATCAGCTAATAAGCAAGGCCTTCATGGACTGAATTCAGAGCGTTAGATGAGTGTAAACGCTAATCTCCACAGTGTTTTGGCTGAAATTCCCCTTTAGCTGTCGGGTCCTGGATGCCATGAGTAAAGTGGACAAAAAGTCTGGCATTTTATCAATTCCAGCTTACTCTCCAGCGAACTGTTAAGCGCTTCATGCATCATGTGTTGTATATTTAGATGTAGAAGTGCTGACTAAGGCCTTTTCTAAGATCGAAGATGTTCTTCACACACTGTTTCTTTGCTAACACATCTGATGGAGCAATAGCCACGAACAGCAGCTGCAGAAACTGTAATAAGGGGCAATGTTACAAAGCCAGATTTGGCTGAGCTGTTTTGCAATTCAGTCCAAATTGCTCCTCACAGACTTCAGCTCTGAACGTTTTGAATGAACAGCGTATGGCGTGTTTTACTGTACTGGCTGCAGGCCGCCTCTTGCCTTTAACACATCCTCACACATTGTTCACAGTGTTTCAGCTGACAGCCAGGCCTATTAGTGTGCCTGAACGTGTAGGACTGACTGACAGGGAGAGTGGTTAAAGCTATTGAAGATGTCTGCACCAGCTGATTTCAGTGTGAAAGGTATTCATTAGTGTGATTGCCACAGATTTCCAAGGGGTAACATCTACATAATATTAGGCTGGTTTATATAATTCTGGGGAGATTATATATAAAATAATCCACTTTCATAAGACAGGAGAAAGTCAAACAGTAAAATTAGGAGCTTCCAAATCTGAAGTTCAAAAAATGATTAAAATAGGACTCCTAATAACCACCTGGAAGACCTAGTAGACCACCAAAACTTGAAGCTTTCATCGTTGAGAGAAAGGAAAAAATTAAGCTGCTTCAGATCTGAAGAGGACACACTAAATGCTGAAAATAAATATTTACTTGTTGAGGCTTCTGTGTAATTTTCTGTTAAATATACATTTTCTGTCTTTTTCTTGGATATTTTCTATGTATAACATGTATTGAACAACAGTTTGGCTGTACATGAAATAAATGAAGTGATGTTGTTCCTGCAGACAGTCTGTAGCAGAGTCATCGGAGTGGAAGAATTAGGGAAAGCAAATAAACGTTGTAATGTTCATGGCTGCCGGGAAGCAAATTGATCAGTGCAGCCTTTCAGAGATCCACACATCTGACACTAACTTAACAGTTCGGTCCACATTTCAGGCCAGACTGCTTTTTGAATGAGGCACAGTACAGGGTAGCCAATCAGAACAGTGCTCATTTACATATATCAGTCTTTTAAAGGCACAGCAACAATCTCCTCCTAGAGATCTACTTTCCTGCAGAATTAGAGTTAAGTTAGTGGCCCCGCCCCTTACTCTAATATATCTGATCCATCCAATCAGGGACTTAGGAAGAGATTGATTAGCTAGTGCAGGTGTGGCATATTTTGGTTGGAACTAGGCTCTGCAGCAAGGTAGACCTCCATGCCCTGTACATGGTGGCGCAGTGCTTAGTGCTGTCGCCTCACAGCAAGATAGGCCTGCGTTTATTTCCCGGCTGGGTGACCAGGGTCCTATCTGTGTGGAGTTTGTATGTTCTCCCTGTGTCTGTGTGGGTTTCCTCCCACAGTCCAAAGACATGCAGTCAGGCCAGTTGGGTATGTTAAATTGTGTGTGTTAATGTGTGTGTCTGCCCTGTGATGGACTGGTAACCTCTCCAGGGTGTTTCCTGGCTTCTGCCCAGTGAGTGCTGGGATAAGCTGCAGCACCTCCTGTGACACAGGGAGAGTAAGTTGGTTCAATGATGATGATGATTCATGAATGAATAAATGTCTTAGTACATAAAACCACAGCAACATTGTAAGAGGACTTTAGGTATGAAAATACAAGATATATGTAGAATGTAGGTCCTTTTGTTACCCACCCATCTCATTTTGTCACATATATATATATATATATATATATATATAATATATATATATATATATATCTGTTGATGATAATTTTACAGGAGAAGGAAAAAATATGCTTTACTTTTAATGTAAGTCAATGAAACCAGATGTGTTTCCAAGTAATTCTGGGCTGTTGCTTTTGGTCCATTCATATATAATATATATCACATATATATCATACAGCAGTGTTTCTCAGCTCTGGTCCTGGAGGCCCACTGTTTTACATATTTTAGAGCTTTTCCTGTTTTAACACACCCACTTGGATCAGGTGTGTTGAGAGCTGGAAAACCACTAATAAGTGCACAGGGCAGTGGGCCCCCCCAGGACCAAGGTTGAGAAATACTGTCATACAGTTTCATGTGACCATCAAGTCCAATCTTTGTCACTCCACAGGGGCTCTGCCATTGCCAAGATCGTGGGGGCCAACGCAGCCAAGTATGACACATTTGAAACAACTGTGAACATGTGGGTGTTTGAGGAGATGGTGAACGGACGCAAGCTCACCGAAATCATCAACACTGAACATGAAAACGTCAAATACCTGCCTGGACACAAGCTGCCTCCTAATGTGGTATGATATGCTGATGTTCTGCCGTTTCTTTATAACAACCATACGATGGAAAACTGAATTTTCCTCGCTTTTGTGAAATTAAGGAGTTTGAAGTAATATGTAAACATTCATAAACGTCCATATATGGAAAATAAGCTGCAAAAATAGCCCGTTTTGAATGCATTGTTTCCATGATGTGACCTCATTCACATACATCCACCAATTCAGCCTAATGCCGTTTAGCTCCTCCCATTCAGCTGAAGTTATAAGGAGTGTTTCAGCTCTGAGTTCTGAGTGAGGCTCAACACAGGGCAGCCAATCAGAACAGAGGTGATGTGCAAATGTCAGTTTTAAAGGCACAGTTTGATTGTAAGGGATAAGGAGAATTTGGAAAATGGTCATGTCAAAATAAATTGTGGCTCATTTTGGTTCATATAACCATATAAATGTTGTAAGTTGATTCAAGGGGAAAAAATACTATGAGAATGTAGGTTATGGGCTCTTTAAAGCTCCATTTACAAAAGATCATTAGTGCTAAATTGGGAAACGTCAACCTACTCTTTCTGTAAATATAGCCACTAACTCACTGTGTGTGACATGAAATGAAGACACTGTAGATCAGAATGGACTTCTGAATGTGCTGTGGCCATGCTGGATTGTTTTGGACTGCAAAAGTTTGAACACACTTGGTACATGATTTATTGATTTTCAAGTGAACTTAAACATGGCATTTTTTTTGCAAATTTTAGACCACAAATTCTGTTATTCTGAGTTTAATATATTGGAAATTAATTATGAAATGTGCCATAATATATTAAGAGACCCTTATTAGTCCCACAACAGGGAAATTTGACCTCTGCATTTAATCCATCCATGCAGTGAAACACCACAGGGAGTGGGTAGGGGTTAGTCTTCAGTGACTTCGGTCACATACTGTCGGCTCAGGGGATTGAACCGGCAACCTTCCGGTCACAGGGCTGGTTCCCTCCAGCCCACGACTGCCCAATTTATTTGTGTTTAATTAATTAATTTGTCTTACTTTTCCCAGTATATTAAATTCCAACAATAAACAGTAAATGTGCATTAAAATATGCAGAAGTGTGTTCACTGCAGAGGATGCGTTAACGTATTTTCAACAAAACATGGAATTGGACCAGGAGTGCCCAAACTTTTGTACTTGCAAAACAATATAACAAATAGAAAAATGCCCACAGCAGCTTAAAAAGGCTCAGTTGGTCCTGACTGGGGCTTTAAAGCTGCGATAAGAGATAAGAAAATTTGTTAGTTCTTATGACAAACATGTTTTAGATATCTTGTTTGCCAGATTACAGCTGTCATAGGCAAACACAGGGGGTGTATATTAAGCTCCTACAGGAACAATAAAAGGTAATGCTTGTAATGAAAATATTTTCAATAGAAAATTTCCATTAAAACCAGTTCACAGAACTAGCTTTGTGTCTGGAAAAACCTGTCTGAATATTGACACATGAGACAAAAATTGATCTCAATAACAACGGAAACGTCAGTATAATACTGAACACACCGTGTACCATGAAAGAAAAGCCTTCATTTACATTCGTTACTTTTCATTGCTGCTTCACATGCAGTCATTTAATATGCTAAATCAAAAGACCTGCCTCCTTCTTATGTTCTACAAGCAGTAATGGTACATTTTACCCATTCAGTTCATTGAAAAAGTACCCAGTTTTTTATTGCCATTAACCCTTTAACAATGTAGTCCTTCCCTTTAATTACATGAATGTTTTGTGCCATAAACTGCCACAGGACTATACATCACACAGTAGCATTTCATTGTTACTTTGATAAATCAACACTAAACGTTTCCATAGTGAATTGTGTGTTGAATGTGTGCTCGCTCTCAAACTACCACAGTGCATCCAATAGTAAAGGCAGCATGGAGCCTCTTGTATACAATGATAGGAAACATGGGAGCTCATAGAAAATTCCAATTACACATACCGATCCGTTTAACTACTCTGGGGACAGATTTCAACCAGTAAAGCAGATAAAGGCAGGATCCGCGGTGATTGGGTAAGATAGGGTTAAACAGTGTTCTGAGTTTGTAAAACTGCTCTTCTTTTTTCAGTTGGCTGTCCCAGATGTGGTGGAGGCTGTGAAAGGAGCGGACATCCTTATCTTTGTGATTCCACACCAGTTTGTAAACAGAACCTGTGACACGATCAAAGGGCACATCAAGAACGACGCTGTGGGGATGTCCCTAATCAAGGCAAGTGCAGTGCGGAATTTTTGCAATAACTTTTGCCCAGGCCACGTTTTAGGATTTATTGACAAAACATCATTTGGCCAGTAGGTAGTTTTCATTTATTCGTGTTTGATAAAACAGGGCTGTACATTATTTCCTGGATGGCTCAGTTGGGTAGGTTAAGCGAAAAGCAAACACTGTCCAAGAGCCCTTTAACTAAATATCATGTGGGCTTTTTGTTTGGCTTGAAGTCCAATGAAGCACAGCGTGAAATATTAAAAATGTTTGTATGATACTAAAACTGAGTGTTATATTAAACATCCAGATACATTTGAATTGAGAAAAAAACAAAATGGAAATAAAACAGGACTAAAAAACATTAATCCAACCTTTCTGAGGATCAAACACAACAGCAAGAGCGCAGAGAAATGAGTGAAACCGGCTCTACATATGCAGGTCATGTTGTAGACCACAGTTTCCACAAACTCACAATTTTTTTTGTAGTGATTCCCTAAAGAAGATAAGCTTCTTATTCAATTAACTGCTGAATAAGAATCCAAGGAATGCTAGCACTGAACAAACGTTTGCTTGGTTGTTAGCTTTTGCTTACTCAGTTCCTTCTCACCAATTTAGTCGTCTCCAATTCCACCTGCTAGTTAGGACTCCTCCCATCACACGATATCACCATCTTTGGATTGTGAAGGCTAGCAGAGGCTTCCTCCAAGACCTGTGAAGCCAGCCACCCCATCTTGTACAAATGTAACCCACAAATCACTGCAATTAGTGGGACAAGTTTTGGTGGTTGAAAAATCTGCTTATAAGCCATAGCAGTAAACTACTTTAAAATGCTTAATATTTCAAAACCGTAACATTTGATTTGCTGGGATTTAGGTTTGCCAATTAACCCCCACCGCTGAACAACCTCATTACTTCACTCTGCTAGATTCCTAGTTAGCTAGCAAAATGCTACACAGCAAACAACAAAAATGAAGCAAATACACCACATTTCTAAAGCAAAGCTCATAGCTACAAAGTAATTATTCACAAATGTTGTGCATATTAAAAAAAAATTGACATTGTAAAGTTTGCATAGCTAGCAGGTTAGCAAACTGAGGCCAACATAACCGAGCGCGAGTGCTCCTCCTCCACTTGCGTAATGTAGGTGTGATGCACATCCGAGTGACGAGTTGAAGGGCAAGTAAAAAAAAATATAATATATATATATATATATATATATATATATATATATATATATATATATATATATATATATATTATAATATGACTTGGGACTGTCCAATTTACATCAAAAGAGGAGAATTGTGAGGAGAATTGTGGCCATTTAGTGGACATTGGAAAGTTCATTCATAGGAAATGACCACAAGAGTAGGATTAACCTAATTAGAAACAAAATCCATTTAGGTTAATATTACAAATGTTATGATTCCCCACTAGGTCTGTATGTGTATGTGAAGACTGTTTCCTGTTCCAGGGTGTGGATGAGGGTCCAGATGGGCTGAAGCTCATTTCTGATGTGATCAAAGAGAAACTGGGCATCACCATGACGGTGCTTATGGGAGCCAACCTGGCCAATGAGGTGGCTCAGGAGAAATTCTGTGAAACCACCATTGGTAAGTGGACAGTAAATAATGATGTTAGTCAGCATAAACAGTATAAAATGGTTCCCTGAGTTTACTAGTAGCATTCCTACGTCCTGTGAGAAGAGCAGCTGGAGATCAATATGGCAAATCTACATTTAGTCAGTAATAATTCTTGACGCAGACATAAAAGTGTGTATAATATGGGTTTCCTACTTATTATAGCTATTTCCTATTTGTATAGTTTTTCTGATCAGTGTATTTGGTCCTGCCATTCATGCTAGTGCATGTATTGATCTATTCAGGCTGTAAAAGCAAGGATCATGGGCCTTTGCTGAAGGAGCTCATGCAGACCACAAACTTCCGGGTCACTGTGGTGGAGGAGGCGGATGTCGTAGAGATCTGTGGAGCTTTAAAGGTAAACAAGTAACTTTCAGTCATTCATATTCAAAACATCATCTCCTTACAGAGAGCAATAACACCAAAACAATGCTTCTTTTTTTGCTGCAATTCATTTGATATTATTTTATGATGTGCCATTACAGTAATATGTGTACAACAAGATGCCTATACATGGTTTATAAAGGGATAGTTTAGCAAAAAATCCAATTTGCACAATTTTTCTCATACCCCAAATGTAGCAAACTAATATGCTAATGTAGCTAACAAGTAATAGAAGCTTATACCCCATTAACTGCCAACAGGCAAACTCTAATAGACTTGCTTAGACTTGGTTTCTGACAGTGTATGACATGCCGTTATGTATAAAAATTGACAAACTTAAACTGTCCATTATAATTTATAACTGTATGTCCAGCAGTGTTTATTTAAGATTATTTAACAACTCAGTGCAAATTGAGGCAAGTTTGTGATGATGGTTGGGTTCATTTTTGTGTTGGATGAGTATCAGAGGCTGCCTCTGTTGAGATGAGTTAATAAGCTAACAGTGCCAGCCAGCCTCGTTGTTCAAGCTAATGAGGACTCGTTGTCGTTTCTCTCCTCAGCAAATGATGTGGCAACATAGTAGTTTGTCAGGGAAATATACACTATATGGACAAAAGTATTGGGACACCCCTCCTAATTATTGAGTTCAGGTGTTTCAGCCACACTCATTGCTAACAGGTGGATAAAATTAAGCACACAGTCTTGCATGATAGACAAACACTGGCAGTACAATGGGTTGAATTGATGAGCCCAGTGTCTTTAAACATGGCACTATCATGGGATGCCGCCTCTGCAACATGTCAGTTTGTGAAATTTCTGTCCTGCTAGATCTGCTCCTGTCAACTCTAAGTGGTATTATTATGAAATTGAAATGTCTAGGAGTTTGATGAATGCCAGGAAAACGTTACCTGCCTGACTGCACTGTGCCAACTGGAAAGTTTGGTGGAGGAAGGATAATGCTATGGGGTTGATTTTCAGGGCTTGGTCTGGGCCTCTTATTTCCAGTGAAGGGAAATCTTAATGCTTTAGCAGACCAAGACATTTTGGACAATTTTATGCCTACATCTTTGTGGGAACAGTTTGGTGAAGAACCTTTTCTGTTCCAGTGTGACTGAGCCCCAGTGCACAAAGCAAGGTCCATAAAGGCATGGCTAGATGAGTTTGGTGTGGAGGAACTTGACTGGTCCTCACAGAGCCCTGACCTCAACCCAATCAAACACCTCTGGGATGAACTAGAACAGACTGTGAGATTGTGAGCCAGGCCCTCTCGTCCAACATCAGTGTCTGACCTCACAAATGCTCTTCTGGATCAATGGACAAAAATTCCCACAGACACTCTAAAATCTTGTAGAAAGCTTCCCAGAAGAGTGGAAGCTGTTATAGCTGCAAAGGGGGGCCAACTCCATATTAATGCCTATGGATTTAGAATGTGATGTCATGAAATCTCCTGTGGGTGTAATGTGTAGGTGTCCCAATACAGCCACACAGCCACATCCTTAACAACTAGTCCTTGGCAATATGTTTCGGAGTAGCAATGTATAAGATTACAAACCCAAAAACCATCATGTTTCACTGTGTCGTTGCCCTGTTTATGTTTTCTGTCCTCCTGTGATGAAATGTCATAAATGTCCTTATGGTGATTTCTGTATTTTAATACTGGTACCTAACCGAATATTCGAGTACCCATACGTGTCTCTAGATGTAGGTATGCAGTTTGTACTTCGCTAATTAGCTGCTTCCATTACTTGTTTGTGTCACTAAGCCGTTTCCAACATTGGCAATCTCTCATTTCATTGTAGAACATCGTGGCGGTTGGTGCAGGTTTCTGTGACGGCCTTGGCTACGGTGACAACACGAAGGCAGCAGTGATCCGTCTGGGTCTGATGGAGATGATCGCCTTTGCGCGGATCTTCTGCACAGCTGGCCCCGTCTCCGCAGCCACATTCCTGGAGAGCTGCGGGGTGGCCGACCTCATCACCACCTGCTACGGAGGACGCAACCGCAGGATCGGAGAGGCTTTCGCCAAAACCGGCAAGGTTGGTATTCAGTTACTGTTGGATGTTTTCTGCATTACATAATCTGATGAGAACTTTATGTACCTGCTATCTTCAGACGATCGAGGAGCTGGAGAGGGAGCTGTTGAATGGGCAGAAGCTTCAGGGTCCAGCCACAGCAGCAGAAGTGAACCACATTCTCAAACACAAAAACATGGTAGACAAGTAAGTGCTCACATAGCTCATCCATATGGGGTATAAGGCCTTACGTTATAGCCCACCTTTAGGAGATCCTCCATTCTGCAGTGTTTAGTCCCAACCACAGTGTAAATCATCTGATGCAGCTTATCAGAGTCTTCTGAATAGAGCGTGGATCAGGTGGGACAGTTGAGGGTTGGGAATGTTTTCTGTAGGATGGAGGATTTTCAGGATGGAAAATGGAACAAAATGCAATATGTGGTCAGTATATTCAAAAAAGTAAATAGAATATATTGGAATACATTACATTTTGTATGGACATAAAAATGTATGATGTCTTTATTGTGTGATATCTGTAACTGAGTGATTAGGGTGTTATAAACTGATATATATATCAGTTCCTCAACTAAATAGCAAGGCCTTCATGAGTGTTAGAACATGGAAAATGCTTATCTCTGCAGAGCTGTGGCCCAGAAGGAACCCAGTTTGACACCCCTACTATAGACAATGACAATAGTGTTAAAAATACATTGATCTTTACTGTTAATCACTGGTGAACTATGACTGTTAGTAATAGCTAAAGTTTGGGCCATAACTGTCAAAACTTGGTCAAAAAACACTTCCACGGTTATGCTAATTTCTGCTAGCACCCTTGTAGTATGTTAACATACCTAGTAGTATGTTAGCGCTAAGCTGTCAGAAAGGTGTATCCAGAACTTCCAGAAAAAAGGCCTAGAGTGATGTTTTCTCTCATTTAATTGGTCCCACTCAATAAATCAAACCAAAATTGGTTGATTACTCCAAAAATAATGTTAGTGGTTAATCTAACATGTAAGTCAGTCCGGCTCTTAAGGTACTGACCAATGGGAGAGCTTGCTTTCTACAAAGAAACCACAGAGAAAAAACAATTATATTTTGTTTCCAACCAAAACTTGATATAATTTAATTACTACAAAATTTAAAGAGTTTAAATACAAGCATGATTAATTTTTTTAAATAAAAATACCTGCATTTTAATTGCTAAAAATAATTAGGTCATCTCTGAAGTCTTAGAAGGCCCTGAGGTTTCCCCTCTGTTAATTAATTGCAAATTCTGGTGCTTACAGATGCCTAATTATTGCTAATGTACATCTTCCTCTTGCTTAATGTTTCCCCAGATTCCCTTTATTCAATGCAGTCTATGAGATTTGCTTCCAGGGTCATCCAGTGACAGAGTTCATCTCCTGCTTGCAGAATCATCCAGAACACATGTAACGCGCTGACTAGTCCGGGGAGAGATCAGAATTGACCGAGCTAATAAGTTACCAGCTGCTGAGTTTAGGTCGAGGTGAAAGGGCTGCCTTCATTGTGCCTATTTTTCATACTGACAAAGTTTTAAGGAAAGAACTAGATTGGTTTTCAACTGAGGGCTGAACTGAAGATGCCCTCGCCAGTGCTGCCAATCTCACAGCTTCTCCTCCAAAAATGCTAGCTACGGCAACAGCGTCTCAAACACTGGACACTGCACCATTTCTGAGTTTGATCATATTGTCTGTGTCTTATATCATGTAACCGCAGTGCTCTTTAACTTAACCTTAGAATAGATGTTTTTCATAAAAGGTTTGCATTAGAGGTACAGTATGTTCCAACTTGTCCCCCCCACCACCCCCGCTCTCAAGTGAGCAGGCTGTTTTGTAATGCTAGTCTATGTGCTAAGGTAATCTTATAGTGTGACGGTCTTAAAAGTGCCTTAAAATTCCTTAAACCTAAACCTTAATCCTGTGCAGACACTCGTTTTCTGTTAAACAGAAAATACCCAAATAACAAGGATGGCTGTGTACACTGATGCAGTGAGGGTACCCACTTGTATAACTGGCCACCTGGCTTTGACTCTAGGTATGTGGCTCCAAGTACAGTGTGCTGTTGAGAAGATGTCATTTTAAAATAAATTATTTTAATTGTAATAAAATATCCAGCTGTCTTGTCTCCTTTGTAATTGCTTAATCATATGTTTTTTTATGGTATGGCACAACTTCTAATTACTGAAAGCAGCTACTTTAACCCATTGCTGACACAAGCACCCAAACCACAAATACAATGCAGCTTGTAAATTCTAGCTAGAACAGTATTGCCAATATGATTGGACGCTCAGGAACAGCCGCACATGAGCCTAAGGTCACCTAAGGGGCATGTTTATCATACTTCATAATAGTTTGGGGACTAAACACACCAATTGATCCAGTTTTGAAAGTGTAATTTTTTTTGCCATTTTTCTGTTGTACCAGTCTTCAGCAGTGTTAGTTGTTGCATTTCATGCCACACCATTTTTATGGAGCCCTGCAAGTGATATCCCATATATATCAAAATAATACATTAAAAAGGCATGATCTTGTTCCCATGCCTTCTCATGGCCATGAATTAATTATCTTGTTCCCATGCCTTACTAAGTCATGGCCATGAATTAATTATCCTGTTCCCATGCCTTACTAAGTCATGGCTATGCATTAGGATCTCATTTCCATGCGTTAATATGGCATTGCTTAGTAAGGTATGAGAATGACTTAATTATCTTGCTCCCACACCTTACTAAGTTGTCGCCATGCAGTGGGATCTCATCCACATGCCTTACTAAGTCATGGCTACAACTTGATTATTTTGTTCCTATGCCCTACTAAGTTGTGGCCACACATTAGTTTATACAGGATGTCACCAGCAGGGCTCTGTATGTTTTCGATGGGACACAGGTCTGATCTGCAGGTCTGAACTAGCACCCCTCTCTCTGATTATGCAGCCATGTTTTCGTAACAAGAAAGTAGCTTGGCATTGTCATGTTGAAATAAGCATGGACGTCCTTGAAAAAGATGTCATCTAGAAATGTGTATATATACTTAAGGGTTTAATGGTGCCTTTACAGATATGTAAGTTAACCACTAATATACCCCCATACTATAAGAAAATCAGACTTTTGAACTTTATGCTGGTAAGAATCTGAATGTTCCTTTCTTTGGCCCAGAGAACATGATGTCCATTAATTCTATAAACAGTCTGAAAGGTTGAATCGTCAGACCACAGTACACATTTCCGCATCAGTCCATTTCAGATAAGCTTGAGCCCAGAGAAGTCGGCGGCGTTTCGGGACATTGTTGACACGTGGCTTCCATTGTGGATGCAGCGACAAATGCTGTGTATTAACAAGTATTCCCGAGCCCATGTGGTGATATCATCACAGAAGCGTGGCGGTTTTAATGAGGTGCCATCTGACGGATTGAAGGTCATGAGCATTCAGTTGTGGCTTTCAGTTTTTTACGGAGATTTCTCCAGATTCTCTGAATGTTTTTAGGATGTTGTTATGCATCACAGAGGATGAAATAACTAAAATTCTTGCAATCGCTCACTGATGAATGTTGTTCTTAAATTGTTGAATTATTTTCTTGCACATTTTAAGACTAGGCCTCTCTAGGAGCATGATGGCATCACCACTTTAGGATGTTGTTTGAACATTTCACAATGTTCCTAGCTCCCAACTGTTCTGGAATAAGTTAAAAAAGGCAACAAAACTGCAGTGTCCCATTCAACACAATGAGTGCACTTTCCCTCTTTCCCTCAAAATCGCACAAACAGGCCCTAAAACACATTTGACAGATAAATAACAATAAATATGACAAATATGATTATAAAATGAATCATATTTAGCTCTGTCTTTAAGGTTTACATTAATTTTTGAGTATTAAAAATATCTGATATTAAATATGCAACTCAGTTTATAATTAAAAATAAAGCCTGTCTTGCTGTGTACCAGGGTATTAGGACTTAGCATACAAGCATCCAAGAGGACAGAAAACCAATGAAAAACTCATAATAACCAACAAAATGAATCACCATGAAAAGTATTGCACTTTCAGCTCACAGACACTCCAGACTAACAATGAAAAGATAACTACAACTGCACTTGTTTTCAAGATCTCAATATGCAAAAAAATGCAAAATTTTGCAGGCGCTAGGTAAATTCTTGATCAAAAATGACCCAAATTTATAAAGATATCAACTTTCTGTTAGCATTTACATGTCAAACAATGGCATATCTGAGTAGCCCAGGGTCTCCTGAAAATAACAACATATGGCATGTGTGACTGTCTCATTTGAATACTTTATAATTGTAATTTTAATTGACCCAAAATACCAAAAAAAAAAAAATCCCAAACATTTTAGGGTTCTAAGGGTTAAATATCTTGTTTTTTCTGTTTTCATTTAAATACAGGTCGAAGTGGAGAAACATATCACTACTTTCTTTTTTTTTTTTCATATTTCCATTTCGCTCACTGTGCCAACGTCTTCAGAACTGAGATTTGTATATATGTACCCCTTTACCTCTTTCATCTATGGTGCTCTGTGGCTGTCGACTGTCCTCATCCACTCAGACACAGTGAGGGTGAAATTTGACTCCAGAAGCCCTTTGAGTGCTACCCTAAACCTTTCACCTTTAGCAGCTCCAAAGGTTCAACCTTTGACCTTTACTAGACTGCTAACGGCTCTCTCCCCAGCCTTAGCAGTGAACATCCTGAGCCTTCTACTGTAATAATAAGGCTTCTTTAAGTGAAAATATCAGTGCATGATTCTTATTTGTTTTCCAAGTTCAACATACTGGAACAAAAATAAACATCCAATAGAAAATGTACCTTTTTTTTGCACAGGCCACATTTTATGTTTTATTTTCTTCCCCTAATTTGCAGACTTTGGAGCATAAACAGTAACTGTGCAGTAAAATGTGCAGAAGTGTGAACAGAAGTATGAAAAAAGAACATACTTCATCTGGGATGCCACAACTTTTGCACACGACTGTATATATACTTCTATCAATTTTGTAAAGACACATTATGACTATTCCTAAACTTTCAGTCGAACATTGTCACTGAAAGTGTAATTTAGTCTGATCTGGGTCTTAGTCTATATCTGGGTACCACTTTTGAAGCCTTATTACAGCTTTATTAATCCTATTATGCATAATGTTTTTGCATGTGATGCACCACTGTCCACTCAGTTCTGCCATATTAGTTAATCTGCATGTGTAAGGGTCAATTATTTTTCAAAAGCTTGCATTGTTTTGCATGTAGTGCCACTCACTTAATGTCAAGAGCCACTGTCCGGCCTTATCAGTCTGCACGTTCATTACAGACCACAGACTGTAATCCTGAGAACAGTTCCTGACTGACCCGCCCAATAAGACTTCTATTAATATTGCTCTCTATCGGGCAAAGGGTGGAGCTATAATTAGAGACGTGTGGAATGGGCAGTGGACAGTGGATTGCTCTTGGGGCGAAGTAAATTAACCCAGATCTTATTTCATCTCAAAGATCAAACAATTACATAACTGCAAAATGCCACTACTTACACTGTCCACTGCTTGTCCAGCATTTCTTATGAAATGCAGTAACAGCCTCTTCTCTTGTGGGAAGGCTTTACGCTAGATGTTGGAACATTGCTGTGAGAATTTGATTGCATTCAGCCACAAGAGCATAAGTGAGGTCACTCCAGCTCATCCCAAGGGTACTGAATGGAGTTCCATCACCCCTAGAGAACACAGTTCCACTGCTTCGCAGCCCAGTGTTGGGGAGGCTTTATACCCCTCTAGCCCATGCTTGGCATCAAGCATTAGTCTCGTGTGCTGCTGCTGCAGAGCCCATTCTAGTGGCAATGTTCTCCTGTGGAGATTATACAAGCCATATAAGAAACTGAACGTCATTGTCAGCAATGGGTGCACTGAAAAGTAGCTGGGCTCGCTAATAAATTGGACACTTTTTGATATTTTCTGCCAGTTGCCCAGACCCAGATTAAGCCTAAGCCTAGAACAGACTTTCCAGTGGTGATTCACCATTGGCACCGCAGATTAGCCCAAGACTAGGCTTAATTCATATCAAGGAAAGTGGCCCATAGTGCAGCTACCACAGTAAACCCCTGCAGTAATGCTCAATTATGAATTATGCTACTGATAAAGGCTGTTTACTGCGCTAAAAATAATTAAATCTTTGTTTTAGAGTTTGTTGATGAAACAGATTAAACCAATGAAACTGTCAACTGTCAATTTAGCTCAATTGCAGTTCATCGGCTGGCCGCATGATGGCGCCAAATAACAAACAAATGTACACAGTCACACACGTCACTCTCAGAACGTTTCCTCTTAGAGTTTAATACTCCGCACATGACCAAAGAAATGCCACAAAATCTCGAGGCTGAAAGGTCACACGCAAAGCCGCTTGAGCCAAAATAGCGGTTTTGAAGCCTGAATTTTCATCCATTTTAAAAAAATAAATGGCTGCTGCTACAGATTTTCGTTATACAGTGTGCTTTTGTCCATTTGGATAGATAGCAGTGTGTCACACAAAGACAGAAACCACCAAAGCATGTCTTTTTTAGATCTCTTAACCTTTGTGTGGTGTTGGGGTCTCTGGGACTCATTTTCAATGTTTGCCAAAAGAAAAAAAATGATTTGTAATCATTTCAACCTCAGATTCCTTGACCATTTTCTGTGAAGAACATATGAAATAACACATTTTCAGTGCCTTCACACTGTTCACCCCCCACACATTTATATTACACATGGTGTTGGGAGTAAAAGTGTGGAGGTGCTGTGTCCTTCACTCTGTTCTCCTCCTACATGACCTGCTGTGTGTGTGTGTGTGTGTGTGTGAGGGTGGACAACATGGACAGGCTGCTGACTGGCTACAGCTAAAGGAGAACCCTACGCTGCACACTCATAATATTTTAAACCTCTGGTATTTTTACATAAATTGTTATGGCTGTATTTAAAGTAACAGTAATGTGGTCGGTCCACCAGACCACTGAGTAACAAATACACAAAGACCATACAGGGGTTAAAGGGCCCCTATCATGGAAAAACAAATGTCCCCACTTTTTGGAAATAAGGAGTTTGCACTATGTAAATGTACCATTTACTGCCCTGCTGAAA